GGTGTTAAAGAAGACATAGACATGTTTTTGCTTCAAAACCAATTTATTTCTTTAATCAGGGCATTAACAACCTTATTGTAAGATGGAAAAGCATCATCGATACGAATGGAGACTATTTCATTTAATAAATGTTTTATTTTGATATATAAGTTGTTCGGGTTTTTTCATCTAAAAAAATGCGACATCAATTTCTTGACGACCTAATATAATCTAATATTACATTACATGACCTGGTGCTAAGTTGTACAACCTGACTACGCATATTCTGGTATTAAATCATGTAGTATCTAATATCTCATTACATGACCTTGTGTCAAACTTGTACTTGTGACATGATCGGATGAACACTTAATAACTTGGTGTTATATGAATATTTTAACTATAAAACTTGAGGTCAAATTCCAACTCTTTTTATATTCTGACCTACAAGTTACAAGAAGAATTTGCTGAGTTGATGCATGTGTAAAAGCCGATTGAAGATTTAAGCTCTGCATGAACTTAATTACATTGATTAATTTGGTAATAATTGTCGTAAATGTTTAATTAGTAATTATTCGATTGCTCCTTTCTACCAACAATAGAAGAGGACAGCACAAGGATTCCATCCACTTCTGCTAGATTAGCGTTTCCTCAACAAGAAGCATTGAATCTAGAGGTTCCAAGAGTCTCTTCACCGTCCACAAGGTCAATAGACACTGCTTCTCGCAAAATAGTAGAAGTGCCTGAAGCGCCTCCTGCCAAACGACTACTAAGAGAAGAAGAGCGACACTTGAATCATGGAACGTTACCCAGTACCCATCTGAAGATTACCAGTAGAGGTAAATATTCTAATACTTCAAAGATAGACTTTATGCATTTGGTATGGTAAGGATGTAACTCTATGTAATTGGTAGTAAGAAGGATACTGTAATAACAAACGATGTGTTCTACCATTGTTTATACTCATTGAGTTTTATTATAATCGTTTTGAAACTATAAAAAAATTAAATACTATTTAAAAATATCAAACAGTTGAATAAAAATCCAAAACAAAATATTTTGGTTCTTAGATTCAGAAAAATAGCAATAAATCACTGCTAGTCTAAAACTTACTTCTTAAGACTGGTGGATCTTGTATGTAGTTTTTCTCTTTTTGAATCTTTATGCAGATATTTATAATTTGTTTATGGGTGTTTGTTGTCATTAAACACAGCGAAAGAAGAAAAATATTCAGTTCCTTATTAACTATGAATTACACTGGACAATATCGGTCGTGCCATTTGACGTCTTATGAAAAGTTAACAGCCTGCTTGTCTTGTAGTTTTCAATTAAAGACGAATAAGGAGAAACGGAATGACAACGGTAGAGATACTAACATTTTTATTGTCTAACAACTTTGGGGTAGTCCATTCCTTGAATAATATATGCTTAAGACAAAAGGCTATGAATTTAAGTTAATAATCAATTACCCTGCATAAATCAGAAGAGTTGCCTTTGATATGGTACAGAGATTCCTCAACAGCAGAAACAAGGCAACTACTTAAGGAAATAGTCCGAAAAAAATACTTATTGTAGTTTTTAAAATTTAAAGATTACCTGTTCCACAGTGTCTATACATTACTTATTATTTAATGATTAACTTCAGTTTTTTGTTTTGTTTTACTTTTCTGACAGATGACGGTCGGTCTCATCTAGACAACTCAATGGTTGTCAGTATGGAGATAAACGGTGTAATGTACCAGGGAGTTTTATTCGCCCAGAACCACAGAAGACGGTTGTAATGAAATGAAAGGAAGGAGGGGTGTTGTGTTCAATACGTGTTGAGTGCCTTGTTTCTTCGTGCTGAAATATAAAGTTCAATGGTGTATATACTCCTCGTGTCTCCTAATAAACTTATGAATTCACGTATGGGCACTAGATGGCGACACCAGCAAACCAGTTGACAGTTGGTGGGAAGTTCTTTATACAAAATGAAAACAAAACTATAAATACATGATAATACAAAATATAACTCGGTTTGTAGAAAATGTAATTGTAATGACTAAGAATTGAAATATACATACGTTCCATAGTGATATTCTATTTAATTTTTTTTTCTAATTAAACAACTAATTGTTAAGTAATTTTGATGCATAACGAAAAAGAATTTTTTTAAGTTCCAAGACGAACAAAGCTGTAAAAGTGCTATGAAAATTTCTAAATTGGTTTATACCAGTGTGAAGATACTTTATTTTGATGAGCTCAGGCCATTAAGGCTTTCTTGTTCAGACAAGTTTAAAATTAGATATATACATCTAATACATTCTGATAAGTTAAAATATATATATATATATATATATATATACATCTAATACATTCTGATAAGTTAAATATATATATATACAGCTAATACACATATAATGAGACGAAATTGTAAAATCAACCATACTAACTTAATGTTGGTATTCTATTAGTGAAAAAAAAAAGAAAATAATAATAATGTTTTAAAATGTTGAAACCTGTCTCTTCTTGCACGATTCGGTTGAATTTTAGGGATAATTCAAGCAAAAGACAGATGGCTTCAACAATTATGAATATACAGAAAAAGAGGACTGGTTATAGTATTTTGGCACTTGTGTATAAAGTTAAAAATCATAAATAATATTCAACGTTAAACTAGCACACAATTAAAACATTTTATGTAGGCCTATCTATGGCCTTCAAAAAGTTGTAACGTAAAAACATGTAGAGTCGTCAACTTTTTGAAGGCCATAGATAGGCCTACATAAAATGTTTTTAATTGTGTGCCAGTTTAACGTTGAATATTATTTATGAATTTAAGAGGACTGATGTTTAAATATTTT